TTCAACAAAGGTCTCAAGAGGGTTCAAAATGATGGTCAAGTATGTTTGTTGCCTCTATTGTTCTTACCTTGAATTTACTGCATATAATTTTGAGAATGAGTTGTATACTGAATACTGTGAGTCAGCACTTAAAGATCCTAATTTCTTATGTATTTTGATTCTGGTTGTACTTGAACTGATCAGTTGCATGCGTTTGCTACTTCACTCCAGGTCAAGGCAAGAATTGGATCCCCTGTAACAGGCTATGGATCAGAAAGTAGAAATCGTGCTGCGCGCCAACGCATCCCTAATAGGATATGGACTGATGAAGATGGAGTTGAGCATGTTGAGGTGACTTTTTCTTCTTGTGAACCCTATCTTTTGATACCCTCTTCTCCAATATATTTAGGTTCCCACTCATATATAATTAAAAACTGAATGTAGGTCAATTTTTATATTCGCGGACCACATGGAGCTGGCAAGGTTTATATAGAGATGTTTCAAGACAAGGTGGATAAGCAGTGGAAGTTCACATATTTGATCGTTGAGATCAAATCACCTTCCCCTGCTCAACTGATGCTCGAGTCGTATGTACCTGCCTGAATATCAACGCAAGTACATTATATGTTCTGTCCTGCTGCTATAATTGCGTGGATGCAATCGATATCCTCTAAACTTTTTTTCCAACTCCCCTGAGAGCTCTCAAGATGACAGTTCTGATGATTTCAAGTTCTTTTGGTTGAGCCATTGGCTCTGATAACAGTTAGCATTGCTGAGAAAGTATTAGATAGTTTACCTTTTGTCGGTCATAAAAAAAAGTTGCAAGAAAAACTGTTAAATTCTTTCAGATGTAAGACTTTCTTGCAGTTCAAATCCAAAGAAGTTTTGGAATGATCAAGTTTCGATTTTCATATTTCTGCAATTTTCTCCATTTTTTTGCTATCCAAAGTGCTTGTGTCTAAAGATGGTTATTGCTGAGGCAGTCAATTAGCTTATTATGTAGTAGTGGGGACAAAAAAGAGAGGCAACTTAACCTAATGAATCTTTAGTTAGAATTTTATTCTTTTGGTACACAAAACTTAAACTCGAGACCTGTAGTTATGATGAAGTGATTATATCCATCCTACAACAACGCTCGGTGATTCAGAATCACTTATCAAGTTGCTGCTCCAACACTTCAGATTCAACCAACATAGTAATTTCATTTCTCTGATGAATTACAGGGCATAGAAAAGAAATAAACTAAGAAATTAAACAAATACCATAATCAGGCATTTTCAAGATTTCTACGACTCTCACTAAATAAATGTCGTTGTATCTCTCTCTACTTTCTTGTCGTATCTTGACTTTCTTGTAGTGTAGAATGGTGATGTGAAGAAGCTTTTGACAACACTGAAATGATGGAATGGAAAGCATTTGCTGCAATTCTTGATTTTATTTGACCCCTTCTTGGCAAAGGCTTTGTGCCCCTAAAACCTTCAATTACTGTTGTAGAAACTCTAGCAATTTTGTGATTCATCATTTGAATGTTCAATTGATTTAGTTGTGAGTGTAATTTTGAAATTGTTTTATGAAAGTTCTCAATAAGGACAAAATTGTCAAATAAATTTGGTTTTGGTTTTGGTCTTGGTGTTGATTGAGTGCGTTGGTTTCTTTATATAGAAGTGCACATAAAGAGAAAGGGTTGTTTGGGAAAGGTTTATTGTCAAATGGTTAGGAAAGAGAAAGTTTTGTCTGGGAGAGGTTTTTATGACAAATGGTTTTGAAATGGTGGCGGATTCAAAATTTAAATTTCTCGATATCTTATATATTATATTCCCTCCATCCCTTTTTAGTTATCATGTTATGCTTTTCGAGAGTCAAACGATATGAATTTTGACCAACATTTTAAAATGTATTTTTTTCATCATATTGATATGAAAAATGTTGCAATTTATAGTACTTTTATGTATAACTTTTGAATATCTAAAATTTTATTTTAAAATATCAAATTAATGTAATTTAATTCACCTTTGAAAATTAGTCATCTCGAAAGGCGCAACATAATAACTAAAAGGGAATGGAGGGAGTACTTTTAAAATTATGGGTTCTACATATGTAAATCGCTATTAGTCTGAAATTTAATAGCTTCATCTATATTTCATGTTTAAAATACTGAATTCACTTTAATATGTATAATAATTTATCAAACGTTGAATAAATCTCATAAGCAAATTGAGAAAGTAATATTTATAAATTTAAAATCTTGAATTCGCGGACTAGGGGTAGGGGAGTTGGGTGGCATGCCAGCAGGATTGTCTTAGCTAAACAAGATTCTTTTCTCCCCAACTGGTGGCATCTAGAAATCGTCAAATTATTTATTTATTCATTCATTTTGACGTAATAGCTTACTCCACTTTAATATCGTATAATGGTATAAGCCTGTCTGACTGAGAACAAATTCGTGTATACGAAGCAGTTTATAATATACATTATGAGTTGTCTGGTTTTCATTTTGCTACGTTTTTAACATAAAGTATGCGGCAGACAAATTTCAATTCAAATCTATCGGTAAGATTTTGCTGGTTTTTATTTTCATAATATGAATTTAATTTGACAAGCTTATTCAATGTATATAAAATATAAAAACAATTCTTTATATATCCTCCATCCTATCCTATTTCAACTGTCGCTTTTGTTAGTGAACTATTATTTTAGACGGATAAATAGGAGTAAATTAGTAAATTATACTTTCTATTTATTGTTTTTTTATAATGAATATAAAAAAGTTAAAATGAGACAGTACGGAGAAATATAATATAGTGTGTGAATTGAAATTGAAACAACATAGTAATAACTTTATGCTGCTGTGCACATGGTCAATAAGGTTGTTGCCTATTACCAACAAAAAATGGTAAAATACTCATTCACAGAAAAAGAAAAAAAGAAAAAAACAGTTTCCTATTCCAATGGAAACTTATAGAATATTTTAATTTTATTTTAAAAAAAAAGCTTTTTAAGAAAGTTGACAAAGGAGAAGTGTTACGAACTTTGAATGAAAATACAGATGAACCTCAAACAACAATATTATTTTAAGATGGCAAAATTACTCGTTGCATGCATCAATAATTCTCGATATAGTGTGAATGTCTCGATCACTAAGTGCCCGTTCTTTCAAGTAAATTAATCATCGATATAGTGGTCAATGAATCACTAATCAAAGAACGAGAAATGTAATTATATTGCTAGACATTTATCCAATTTTCAACCAAATGAGATAACAAGTGGTAATAAAAAACTTCTTTACATTAAATTAATGAAAATACTAGCTTCCCAATGCACGTCACCAATAATTCAATTTTCATTCCCAAAATACAGTAACATGTGGTAAGCAATTCTTTATAAATTAAAAAAAAAACCATATTTTATGGTTGTGAATCTCTTTATTATTGATTGTGATTGAAGTATATATTTGAATTATCTAGTTGATACATAAATATTTGAATTATCTAGTTGATCACACAAACCTACAAGTTCCAAAAACTACTATTATGCTTTAGTGGACAGAGTTATCTAATACTTATCAAGTGACGATTCTTTCTCAAGGCAAAAATAGCACACTTTGAAAAAATTTATTTTAATGAACATAAAACCAGACGAAGAGTATAAATTTGTATAAATTACAACTTTTGTACTATTGTTTTCTTTATAGGATAGAATCATCATGCCTGTGTGGTTTGTAGTAAAAGAAAACACAAAAAGCCTAACAAGCAAACCATGATGTATCAATCCTAATCTTGACCTCTATTAGCTAACAATCTACTCTAATTGTGTATTTAAATAATGATTAGTTGCAATATTTTGTATACTTAAATTAACTAATTGGTTGACAAATGTGAATTGCATGGATTTATTTAACTTCATACATAGTCAACTAATCCTTCGATTTTATTATTACTTATTATTTTCTTTGCTTCAATTATCACAGTATTAGACGTTGTTGAACTGTTCTTTTCTTCACTACTGTATACCCCTTTTCATACGTGCTTTGAAATGCTTTACTTTAGCTGAGAGTCTTATCAGAAACAACCAATACGTACACACCCCACTTATGGAATTACACGGAATATGTTGTTGTTGCATATCTAGTCAACTAATGATAAATAAACACTAAAATCCACTTAGGGAATAATTTTTTGTCAAGAAAAAATTAGCTGTCATTGCCTCCCTACTGCCTTACCTAGTGATGAACCTACTACAAGAGGCTACTAATAACTTGTCATTTTGTCATCAAAACAACCTTATTATCGTAGCTACAAAGAAAGGGGCTGTGTTTCTTGAATCAACAAGCAAAATTTATGCTTTATATATAGTCATAATTCATGCAATTGAATTGTCAAAACACAAATAATCATCTTGTTTTATTGTTAAACAAAGGTTTAAGTAAGATGAAGCATATGTTATTTGACAAGAAGATAGAAGAGCATAGACCACTTCCTAAGAGAGGGCAAGTTAAGACAAGGATAGTTGCCATCGCGTTGCAGTCGTTGGCAGCCATGATCACCATGGCTGCTAATCGACGTTCAAACTCCACCCCAAAATCCTAAGAAACATGTTGATGCATGGGAAGCGTGTAACAATGACAGGAGATTGATCAGTCAGAGTCGAGTGACCTCAAAGGTTTATAGAGAGTTTTGTATAGTGTCGTTTTCGTTGGTTTGTTGTATTTAGACATCTTTTGTTCCCTGTCTTGTAACAAATTTCCAGTGTCCAAAAAACAAAAACAAGAAAGTAGAAAATCTCATGTTACACATTGTCATAAAACCATCTTGAAGATTTGCTAAATTTGGCTTTATACCATGTGGATGCCTTAAGTACAGAGCAAGCAGAGACATCAAAGCAACAAAAAAAAAATAGGCAAGGAACAGGTCCTTTCCTTAATGTCAAGGCATTTTAAAGCAAAGTTTTTATGCTTTATTCCAATCATGGTTTCCATAAATAGATAATGAATAGTTTCAATAATGTTGCTATTATCAAATAAAATGGCATTATCAAGCCAATTTCTCCAGCATAATATATGGTCCAACTCGGAGTTTACGCGTACCTTGAGTGTCCCTCCATTATTGAAAGCTAACCATGAACCAGTTAAGAAGCTATCACAACGAAAACTTAAAATACGAGGCATCAAGAACAAATCCAACAGTTTGGTCACATTTTCGATGTTAAATCCTGAGAGTGGCACGAGTATGAGTGCAGTTTCTCCATCCGACACAATCAAGAAGTTCTATTCAAGTATTAACAACAAGGACATGAACCAACTAGCACTGCTCCTAGCTGAAAATTGTTTCTATGATGATTTCTCCTACAGTCAACCATTCCAAGGGAGAGAGGTTACCTCTCTTTTTTCACTCGGAAACATGAATTGTACTTTTCTTTTGTACAACTTTTTGAGCTCAATAACAACTACTACGCCTCAATCCCAAGCTCGTTGAGATCAACTTAAGGATTATCTTACACTAAGGATTCTCTAATATACTCTAGTGTTTATATCTTCGATTTGTAAATTGATGCAGGAGGCCCTTAAATTTCTGGAGCAACTAGCCACATGCATGGGGAAGAACACAGAGTACTGCATTGAACACATTTATGAGGGAGTTGATCTCACAACTGTGGTAAACTGGCATTTAGGTAACGACGAGTAACTTATTTCTTACAATGAAGATGTAAATATTGGAACATGACAAAAGTATATTTTCATGTAGAGTGGAACAAGAAACAGGTTCCTTTCACTAGAGGCTGCAGTTGCTACGAGTTATCAAGAGATGGAGAAGAGCTAGTCATAAGGTAAATTCAAGGTTTTCTAAGCCCATGTATGTTACGTTTAGGCCTATTACTATGTCAGCACAAACATTAAGTGCTCCGGAAATGGAAATTTATGCAGGAAAGCTCAAGTAATTGTTGAATCACCAGTCAAACCAGGAAGCGTAGCTTTGGTATGAATACCATCAATCTTCTATTTCAGAAAAGCGCAAACTAGACAAGCTAACTTATCAACTTATGTTATCTAGCTTTGGTATGAATACCACCAAAATTCTATCTCAGAAAAGCACAAACTAGACAGGCTAATTCACCAACATGATGTTCACTCTTTTCTCCTGATATTGGCAATTTGAAACTGCAATTCTTGATTCTTGTTTAGTTTCTATTTCATTAATGCACGTCGTGTTCCTATCTTCACAAAATACAGGAAGCGTTCCAGAAGGTCATTTCAGTATGTGATGCTTTCCCTCAGTCTGCTGAATGTATGTTAATTTCTTGATGTTCTTTATTTTTTCGCCAACATGAGAACAAAATTATTCTCAACAGGGCAAAAAATTTCCTATGCAGGGTTGTTCCAGATGAGTCCTCAACTGATAACTTCCTATTCCCGCTACACATCATGGCTCAATTACATGTCAACCTTAAGTCCTTGGAGTGATTCAAAAGATCAAGATCAAACTCCAAAGAATGACTAGCTTTGTAATTAAGTCCTAAGGCATATTTGGCCATATTTGTAGTAAGACTAGTGCTACTAAAAATAGTAAAACTTGAGCATATCTGATGAAATCTGCCCGAAAACAACTGTATGATTGAGCGTTGGGTTCGAGAAAAATTGGAACCACTACAGATATCTCTATTGTTGACTGTTGAATAAACCGTGTTGAATTTCGATCTAAAAATTCAAGTGGTAAGCAATTCTTTATGGAAAGACTTATCCTTTATGGTTGTGAGTCTCTTTATTAGTGATTCTCAGTAGCAAACCTACGAACAGGTGCATCTGTAGATCGATGCATGACATGTCCAAACCTACAAGTTAAAAAAAAAATTGTTCTCACACCCGTCTATGTGAGCTTTGGAGAACGTGACCTGTCCAAATAAGCATGAATTGGAGGATTACAGTGCATTAACAATCATTAAAAATAAAATAGTCAAACCATATATAAGAATTCAAGACTTAAAATGAATCCAAGTGGCAGTTCTTTCTCAAACTTGGAAAAAGTTTACTTTAATGGAAAACCAGACAAAGAGTATAATTAAAACTTCTGCATTGTTTTCTTTATAGGATAGAATCATCATGCTTACGTGGGTCGTAGAAAAAGAAAACACATAAAGCCAAACAAGCACATATTGTAAATGATTAGTTGCCAAATTTTGTATGTTCAACTAATTGGTCATTGGTTGACAAATGAATTGCATGGATTTATTTAACTTCATAGTCAACTAATGATTTGAAAATAAACATTAAAATGAACATAGGGAAAATTTCTGGTCAAGAAAAAATTAGCTGGCATACCCTCCCCACTGACTTACCTAGTGATGAACCTACTACAAGAGGTTGCTAATAACTTGTCCTTTTGTCATCAAAAGCTGCCGTAGCGACAACGAAAGGGGCACTGTTTCTTGAGTGAGCAAGCAATGTTAGTGGTTGATATAAATAGTCACAATTCATGCAATTGCATTGTCAAAACACTAATAATCATCTTGTTTAGTTGTTAAACGAAGCTTCCAGCAAGATGGCCCTAGAATAAATGATGCAGCAGCTACTCCTATGTTACTTGACAAGAAGATTAAAGAGCACAGACCACTTGCTAAGAGAGGGAAAGTTATGACAAGGATAGCGGCCATGGCGTAGCAGTCGTTGGCGGCCATGATCAACATCGCCACTCGACGTTCAAATTCCTCCCCAAATCCTAGGCTTGAGGAGCTAAGAGTGTTTATCATCTAAAAAATATGTTGATGGATGGAAAGCGTGAAAAATCCTTTATGCACGAGATAACAATGATGGGAGATTGATCAGTTAGTGTCAATTTCGCTAATCTCTTGTATTTAGACATTTTTCCCTAATCCCTCCCCATCTTGCAAGAGATTGATAAGTCAGAGTCGAGTAACCTCAGGGTTCTTGGAGAGTTTTGTAGTATCACTTTCGTTGATTTCTTGTATTTAGACATTGTTTCCTCCTCCATGTAATGACAATTTTTTAGTGTCCAGAGCACCTAGAAAACAAGGTCTGTATCAATCTAGTGCGATCATATTTCCACTTTTATTATAAATATCAGTATTAGCATGAGTGTCTACAACCTTTTCTAATTCCACTAGAGGAGCATAACCCATACTCTCCCAACATCAGTTTTATTAATGTTTGAGCCGCTTGCACACACCTCGACTAATTCCACCAGTACCTACGACCGAGCAACAACATAGGTATTGGGTAACTCTTCCCATAAAGGATTGGACATATGGAAAAAATTCGCCTAATGCCTTTTTTATGTCTCCACTGGAATTTGAACCCGACTTCATTGACCACGAAGTCCCACCCATGCATTCAATTTTTTTTGTTACTTTCTCATCTAAACTTTGACAAAAAACATGAAATACAAAAAACACTTTAAATGGAATTGCTAAACGGCAAGAATGCTAAAGCCCCACACCCACCCCCACCCAACCAAAAAAGAATGAAAGAATAGGATAAGAAAATAATCAGAAAATGAAAACCAAGAAAGTAGAGAATCTCATGTAATCTTTAGATGACTAAATTTGGCTCTATACTAAGATGGTACCTTAAGTACAGAGCAAGGCAGAGACATTAAAGCAACAATTTTAGGAAAAGAATAGGTCCTTTTCTCAATGCCAAAGCTTAGAACCAAAGTTTTTATGCCTTTTCCTATTAGGGGTCCATAAATAGATAACACATAGTTTCTATAGTGCTGCTATATACACTAAAATGGCATTTTCAGGCCAACTTCTCCAGCATAGTATATGGTCTAAACCGGAGTTTATGCATACCCTGAGCGTCCCTCCATTGAAAGCTATCCATGAATCAGTTACGAAAGTATCACAACTAAGACTTAAAATACGGAGCATCAAGAGCAAATATAACTGTTTGGTCACACTTTCGATGTTAAATCCTGAGAATGGCACGAGTATGAGTACATTTTCTCCATCTGACACAATCAAGAAGTTCTACTCTAGCATCAACAACAAAGACATGAACCAACTAGCACTGCTCATAGATAAAGATTGTTTCTTTGATGATTTCTCCTTTCCTAAACCATTCCGAGGGCGAAAGGTTACCTCTCTTTTTCTCACAGAGATATGAATTGTACTTTTCTTTTGTCCAACTTTCTGAGCTCAATCCCAAGCTAGTTGCAATCAACTGTATATTCATAAATACTCTGTTTCGATCCATAATATGTCTACACTAAGGATTATCTAACACTAAGGATTCTTTAATATACTCTAGTGGTTATATCTCCGATTTGTAAATTGATGCAGGAGGCTTTGAAATTTCTGGGGCAACTAACCACATGCATGGGGAAGAACACAAAGTTCTACATTGAGAACATTTATGAGGGAGTTGATCTCACAACTGTGGTAAACTGGCATTTAGGTAATGACGAATAAATTGTTTCTTACATCTGATGAAAATGTAAATATTGGAACATGACAAAAGTATATTTTGGTTAATGCAGAGTGGAACAAGAAACAGGTTCCTTTCACTAGAGGCTGCAGCTGCTACGAGTTATCAAGACACGGAGATCAAGAACTAGTCATAAAGTAAACTTCAAAAGTTTTCTAAAGTCATGTTAGCTTTAACCCTATTACTCTGTTATCACTAGCATTAAATTCCCTGGAAATGGAAATTCATGCAGGAAAGCTCAAGTAATCCTTGAATCGCCAATCAAACCAGGAAGCTTCGCTTTGGTACGAATATCAGTACCAAGATGTTCATTGTTTTTTCCTGATATTGGCAAGTCAACAACTACAATTCTTGATTCTTGTTCAGTTTCTATTCAATTGATGCACGCGGTGTTCTTGTCTTGAAAAATGCAGGAAGTGTTCCAGAAGGTCATTTCAGTATGTGATGCTTTCCCTGAGGCCGCGGAATGTATGTTGATTTCTTTATGTTCTTTATATTTACATCAAACAAGAGAACGGAAATAATCTCAACATGGTAAAAACAAATTCATATGCAGGGTTGTTTCTGATGAGTCACCTTCTGTTACCAAGTATCTACAAGATAGCTCTCCAGCCAAGCATACTTCCAATTCTCGCCTGCTACCGCAAGTTATGGAGTATCATAGTTACCTTTCTTACACTTATCTACACAATATTCATGTTCATTATAAAGAAATTCCATGAGTAGAACATGTACACAGTTTGACACTCATGACATCGGACAACATTCAAGACTTCACTTTTCCTACATACATATAGACGGTAGAAGACAAGACAAGACTTCACATTCATTACAAGCACAGTAAAACCTTAAAATTTTTCTTACTTCTATTGGCAGAAGGCATAAGCCATTAACTATATCAGCTATCAATCATCGTTGCTATCTCGTGTTGACCATGATTCAAGCAATGAAAGAGCAACTAGAGGTCCAAGGAAAGGAGGGACCGGAGGCGGCCTGCTAAAAGCAACGAGGGGTTCAATGTTCTCCGCCTTCATCTGGGCTTCTCCAGCATCATCATTTGCTTGCTTCTTAGGGGTCATTGTTCCAACTGTATCAAAGTTTGCCATTATTCTAACTATTCATAGTCAAACAACTTTTTCATCAACTACAATCTTCTTGTACATTTGTAATAACAATTCTATCTCCATACAAATTTATATGACACTCCTGTTTCCGAACGAAATAATCTCTTATACTATTCCATTAATAATGTTATTTTACACAACATCAATAAAACTTCCAAGAATTCAAATTCATTTCAATGTTCACATGTTGAACTTTTTTGTTTCATTTTTCTTGCAAACTAAAATTTTCTCCACTATCATCAATATGATACATCAAGTCAAATCAACGTTAAACAAATTTGTATACAGTCAAACATCTACACACAAAAAATGAAGAAAGCATACATTTTTATCTTATTACCAACCTTTGAGATTAAACAATATACATAATTAGTCGAGTTGCGTGAAAACTGACTCACATACCAAGATTATTAAAAAAAAACATAAAAGTAGTTTTGAAATTACCAATTCTACTTCCAGATGGAAATATGTTTTTGAATTTGCTTATCCCAGGAACTAAAGTTTTAGTTCGAATCATTTCACCAAAGTCCTGCAAAACATGGAAGAAATTTGTGAAAAATAAACATAAAATGTTGAAGTAAGGAACAAACTAAGAAACCCATGACTAAAAAGATTGATGAAATTGAAGAAACATACCACAAAATCTTAAATTTTTTTTGCTAAAAAAAACTGATTTTTTTTTGTCTTAGAAAATTGTCAGCAGTTCCAAGGTGGTCGGAACAAAAAGGAGCTGGAGAATGTTCTTGAAAGTTCAAATGGGCCTAGTGGGTTTTTGGGTACGGGCTGGGCCTTAATATGGGCCTCAGTAAAAGAGGATTATTTGGGCCTTTATTATTACTGACATTTGCAAATAGAGCCCATTTGAAGATTGTTGGGCTAGTCCGTTTCTTTACCTGGTCCATTATACTAGTGTTTTCACGGGTCATTTGCGCTTTTGTCCCTATTTTGTGTCGGTTTTTAACTTTTAGGGGAAAAAACGCATGTAGCCAAACCCAAAGATCGTAGGATATAAGTTTATATTTTTGTATCATAGGTTGTGCACGGGCATGTCTTTCGTTTATAAAGAACTTGTGTCATATTAGGCATAAATTTGATTTTTAAAAGGTAAAATTTCAACAAATATTACATCTGAAATAATAATTTAAACTTTTTAATGAATTTCAAGTTAAAAATCTTTAAAACTGGATGATAAAAACTTAAATTCACCTCTACTATGATAAATACAAAAAAAATTAATTAAGGTGGAAAGTTTTTTTTATATCAACCTAAAAAGACTTGAAACCTAACATCTTAATTAGTAGATTACAACTCATAAAACACATAACTCAACAATTGGAACCCACTAAGCCTAAATGGGGTTTAATTGTCTATAACCCCATTGCAATTAGTCATTAAACCTACTGCCATCTGATAGTGAACTTGTACCTATTCATAACTATTTATCCATTGCAATTAGTCATTGAAATTTAGGATACCATATATTTAAAGTTATTTTAAAGTGAATAAACTTATAATTTTTTATGCATCGTGGGACGTATAACTTAAATGATGGTCCTAGATAGGGTATATATATGTGCACTTAAGTCCTTAAATCAGAGGAATTTAGAGTATCGTTTATGGATTCACATGAATTCAGTAATTTTTATCCGACTTTATTTATAAATATCTGATTGTAAATTATTGGATATTAATTTTGAAATCGTTAATTACTTAAATCCTTTGCTAGACAATATTTAACAAATCAATGAGATAAATTTTTTTGGTCTAAACCATGGGGTACAGCCAGCTAATTATTTAGGTTATGCCATCCTCAATTAGTGTAAGATGTCTTTCGAGGGCCATATAGAACTAAACATCATTATATTTCTTGGAATCTTTATTTGCTTATTCTTTAAATAAATAAAAATAAATTAAATAATAAAAATTATTGTATTGAGAAGATCACTAAATATTTTCAATTCTAATGCCTCATTGAGTGTTTATCAATATACTGTCCAAGGTATTTAAGAAAAAGACAATTAGCTAAATATCAATTACTTATTTAAAATGCCTTATTGACGATGATATTGTGTTAATCAATATGATTGACACAATGACAAGCTATATTTATACACAATCGATTGTATGGGTTGCTTTGTCGAAAAAATACGCTATATAGCTAAGTTAAAATTTTAATTTTATGAAGATATATATTTAAAAAGACATCGATATAAGTCTAAAATTGTCAATAATATCTGGAAATTACATGTGTAACTAAGACTGAAGTACAATGGGAGCCATGAACAAGTAATTTGTTTTAAAATCTCAAACTTGTATCAAAATTCTTATTTTAGCGGGAATTTTTTACACGCTATTTTTTTTTTCTTTTAAAATATGTCAAATACACATCACTTTTGCTAGGTACACACGAAATAAACACATAAAACTCATATAATCAATTTTAATTAATTTAGAATCAAAATATACTTGATATATTATTAGAATATATACTACCAAGAAATCGCTAATTTTCGATGAAATTCATTAAAATTTGACTCATCAATGACATTTTTTATGTTACTTTCTTCGAAAATATTTTATGGATAAGCTAAATTTTGATAGGACATTGTGATTTTCTGATAGTGATATTACATCACAAATCAGTGGGCAAGCTAAACTAGAGGATGATGACTCAAATCAATATAATAGCTTTACCCTACAAGTACCCTTCCTACCGAACTCTCCCTTTTACTAAGTAATTGTTTTTTTTCTATTTGGTGTTCGAATATTCAGTATTCGTATTAAAATTTGATTAATTCGAATTCGTATTAGTAAGACCCTATTGAGGATGAACACTCACTAATAATAAATTTTTTATATTCAAGGCTCAAATTCGAGATTTAATATTCAATATCCATATTAAAACTTGATTAATTTGAATTTGACCCTATTCAGAAATACTCACTAATAGTATTTTTTCTATTTCGAAGGCTCGAATTCGAAATCTTTATACCCCTGATCTAAACAAAACTAGTTAGTTCTTTCGGTTTTACCCTTTTTTTTACCCATTTAATTTTCAAAACTAGTATGATTCACTCTTTGGGTCCATATTTGATATTTTTTGACAATCAAGTCTATAACTAGTTAACTACTCACCTTTTTTATTTATTCAAAGTAAAAGAATATCTAATTATCTTGATTTAACACCATTAATGAACTTCTTTTTAAGCTCTAACACGTGTCAACTCATATCACCCATTAAAGTTGATTGACAATATATAGTTGAATCATAGTTTACACTTTACATTAACATATTCCCAATATAGCTAGAATGATGTTAGTCCGATAGTATTAACCTTTTCTTGTATTTTTTTTGTTCATCAATTGTTGGTATCATATGTGATTTGATTGTCGTATACGTTCTATTTCGTTGTTATTACTATTTTCATTTTCGTACTTCATTTTTCAAAATACTTTGAAATGTTTTATCTGAATTAAGATTTGTCAAAAACAATCTCTATTTTTATTAAATAGAGATGATGTATGCATAAAATATTTTATTCTTCTCATACCCTACCTACGAGGTTACATAAATTAAAGTTTTCTGTTCATGTTCATTTCATTGATCTATTTGGCCTAGCTAATTCAAGAATCTTTATTTTATAATTTTATATTTTTCCTGTCTCTAGTCAATGAAAGAACAAAATTATTATGTTGTATGTAAATTGAATAGATCTAATCTAGACCTATGTCCTAGAATGTACTACTCCTAAGTCCTAGGATATCTGTCAAGCAAAATTGATTGGTAACATTGATAAAAAAAAGTGAAAAAAATATGATTTAACATTTTTCTATCTTATATGTACAAAAATGTACAGATTTATATTTCACAATCAAAGTACTTGATATCCAACACTACATTTGCTTTTGCGTTACTCAGGGCGTCTTTTAATCCATAAGTCATTAAAGTCATCGCTTGAAGTTTCATATTTGTGTGACCCCATTTTTAAGAAAGAGTACGTATACATATATTTTTAAAAATAAAATTATATGTACTTCTAAATTTCTTTAAAACAAAAGGGTAAGAAGTAATTATTCAAAGTGGTTAATTTCCACTTTCATAAGAGAATGAAATGAATTGGGAATTTTTTCCTTATGTGGGAAAAGGAGATTGTACTTCCTTATTTATTTCTTAATAATTTGATTATGTATCATATATTCATCTTTTTTATTCTCTATTTTATTATTTTTGTTGTTAATATTGAATTCTCTCCTACAAAATTATTGCTTACAAGTTACAAAAGAACAAAATCAATTTTTTGGTGTCTTCTTCAAAATTTCAAGAAGTGTCACAAACATTATGTTGAGGCAACGCAACACTATTTTGGTATATTTATATCAACTTATCAAATTCTTGAGCTAGATTTTATAATTCTAACTTTATTTTATAGTTTTTCTTGAAAATTTGTAATTGTTGATATTCTTAGTTCATAAGTATATATATATTCTTGTTTTAGTTATTATTAAAATTTATTCAATTTAAATATTTCAACTAGAAAAAATGATTTCGATCTTACAAGAAAAGAGAGAAAGATTTTTTTTTGAAGAATTAAATAAATCTCAAAAAAGAGCACTTGATAGATTTTTAACAAATAATAAATTTTGAATCGAAAAATATGGGGGAACACTTCAAAAGAACAAGTCACTAATAGAGTTGAGTTAGATGATTATAATATCCAAGAAGAATATCTAGAAGAAGTTGGTGAAAAATGTGGCATAGTTTCTGATAATCAAGAACTCCTAAATAATTTAAATTGTTGCATCCCTAAAAATAAATGTGACAATTAAACTAAATAAATAAATATTAGGGCCCCTTCATAAAGTTTGACTTTAGAGCCCCAATCTTATTGACTCAACCATGACTTTAATCAATCCTGTGCATATGAATGTTGGCTAATATTTATGGATTTAATTTATATATACACTATGATAATTACTTACAAGTAAAAAATAATTGATTAACCTAAAGAGAAAAGACATAAAGTGACAACTGGAGTAGTTTCGAATTTTCAAAAAAACACTTTAACTATGTGAGTGTTCTATTACCCCACAAAAGTATTAAATACCTTTACAAACAGAACATTTTGAACCATTTTCTCATCTATGAACAAGTGCGTGATTCTTACCCTTTTTAATTAATAAATTTAATTTAAAAACAGATTAACTTGATCCGAATGTTTCATAAACAAAAATTCTTGGTAATACTTAAAAATAGAAAAACCCACAAAATTTTCCTTCAAACTTCCAATTTTTCATCAACAATCCACAAAATTCTAACTCAAATTTCTCAACCCACAAAAATCTAACTCAAATTCATCAACCCACTTCACAATTTTACTCCTTAGATCGATTAAATTGACTCAGAAATATCTAGCTATTGATCCTGCAATATACAACAATGACGGTTATTTCCCTTTTTCCCTCCGTGGAACAACTTTTCAATGTCACCATAGCTACCCAACTAGTTCTTCTTCTCCTATTACTGTTTCTCCAACTTTGTTATCAAATGACTTCTAATTAATTTTTTGGATTGAAAATTAAATCGAATTCTTATCTTTTTGAGCCGATTTCACCAGAGGGAGAGTGCTAGTTTTTCTGTTAAAACCTTCAACCAAAGGCTCTCTTGAATTTTGGGGAAGATGGTGCATTTAAAAATGAATTAATTAATTAATGGACAAAATAACTGAAAGGTGTCGCCTTTTAATTGGTTTTTGGAAGTAAAGTGATACATTCACGCGTTGTCATCATCGTGTTCACAAACATAGGGAGAAAATTGATCAAAATGATATATTTACAAAGATATTTAATACTTTTATGGGTAATAGGGCGCTTGCGTAGTTAAGGTGTCTTTTTAACAATTCGAAACAACTTTAGATGTCACTTTATGTCTTTTCTCAAACCTAAAATATAATATGGTATACCATGGTCCATGGAGTTGTCTACGTATTGTTGTTGCCAGGTTCATCTAACCCAACACTCTCGATATAAAGTATCAAATTATGTGTAAAATTTTACGAAAATTTAAATATATAGTATATAAATAAATATAAATTCATAGAATTTATATTCAAAACTTTTAGTTAAGAATGAAGATAGACTCATCCATCCCAGTCCCACTACACTCTTGGTGGTTAAATTAGACACTTGCTTCTCTCTATAGCCCCATTGCCAATTTGCCATTACGAACTGTTGTTTATCCATATTAAATTTCATAAATTTGAAATAAAATTTGGAGATTATTTTAAATATAAGCGTTTATTTATCAAATTAATCAATTTAAAATTCAAATATTATTCTTTTAATTTCAAATATCAATCAATTCATATCCAAACGCCACCAGGATTTCACTTAACTATTCTTGCTTTTTTGATGAGAATGACCTAATTACATTATTTGTACTAATTACCAATATAAAATTAAAAGGGAAACCACACTTATTTTTCAAGGACAAAAGGGCTAAATCTTTCTTTCTACTAAACACAAGTTAATTAATCCTTTTTTTCTTCCTTAATCCCTCTCAATACAATTTGTTTTTTAATGGAGAAATCTCCAAATTCATCTAGAGGTGTTAGCTATGGTGGAGGACAAAGTTCATTAGGTTATTTATTTGGTGATGATAAAAAACAGCAAAAAATTGATGAACCTCCACCTTCTCCAACTATTCTTGCACCTCCTTATGGAATTGATGATGATACAAATTATTCACAAAATAATTCTAATACTACTTCAATTACTTATCAAAGATCTCAAGGCCAAAATTCAGGAATTTTTATTACTGTGAGTATATATGATTTTATGTTTATGTACATAAATATAATTGTCCTTGGTTAATTAATTATCAAGAAAGAATGTACATTTTATTATGTTGAAAATAAAGAGAACTTAGATCTAGTGATTTCCATTGTTTTTTTAAAAAAAGTTATCAAGAAAGTTTGTTCATTTGATTTTTTTTTCCCTTTCATTTATTCATAGTTATCAAATTTATTGATTAGTAGCTTGAATATGTGGAGAATTTTCATGATTTTCATTTTTTTTATTGCCTCTGGTTAATTATTAATTATCAAGAAAGTATGTTTATGTTCATTTGATTTATTTCTCCTTTTTCCTTTCATTCATTCATATATAGTTCTCACTTCTCAGATCTATTTACTAGTAGCTTGAAAATATAGAGAATTCTAATAGAAAACATGGAATCAGCTATGAAATTTTTCGGTAATTTCTGGATAACTGTAGCTAAATAGCTCTTAGCTAATTGAATTTTCTTATAAGGCATCGCTAATCCATATCTAAATGAAATTAGCAAATTTTTGTCTAATTCCTTCTTTTCAAGAACTTTTAATGATTTTTCATTTTTAATTGATCTTGGTTAATAATCAATAATTTTGTTCATTTGATTTACTTCCTTTTCTACTCTTTTATTCATTTATAGTTCTCAGATTTATTTACTAGTAGCTTGAAAATATATAGAGAGGGCTTCTAATGATTTTCATTTTTATTTGTTTATTATCAAGAGTTTGTTCATTTGTTTCGTATAATGTTGATATGAGATAAGCTTAATTAGACCGACATGATCAGTAAGAATTTATATAGCCGACCCTAAAGGTTAATTATTTCTTCATGCACCTTTTCTTTTGTTCTTTCAATATTGATTCATATAATATAGTTGTTAATTATTATTTTTCTTTGTTTATTTAATTTAAAATTTTAATTTAGGGTCGCCCATCAACAAAGGTGAACTCAGTTCCAGGAGGAGATTCATCATTGGGCTATTTGTTTGGAGATAAGTCTTGATATTTCTTCATGATCTATCTAATTAACTTCTAAGCATGGCTGAAGTTTAATTAATTAGGGTTTGAATAATGGAGAAATTTCCAATTTCTCTATAGTTTCAATATTTATGTTTTGCCTATGGAAGGGAGCCTTGGAGCAACGATAAAGTCATCTTTGTGTGGCCTATAGGTCACGAGTTCGAGCTCATATGAAGATAGCAAAAAATGCTTGCATTAGGACAAACTTTCTACATCACACATGATAGTACTTTGTGCGATCGGGCTGTCCATCCCTTAAATTTGCATATAACTTGTATCTTGGAATTCCAATGTTTGTACTTGTGTGTGCTAGTATTAATTAGTAGTTTATTAATCTAAATTTGTGTGGTTGTGTGAGAAGTTAATTTGTGTATATTATATGATGAAGATCATCATGCAAGTTTGTTTAGGGTTTGTAAGGTTTTCAGTATAATGTATTTTATATATAGGTTGTAATGTAATAAAGAGGTCTTTGCTTTCTTTAATTGTTCTAAGTTTGTCATGATCCAAATTTGATTTGAAAAGAGCATTGAACAAATATTTTCCAAATATTAATTATAATATCCTCTTTCTTTTCATAGAATATTATAGTTTCCCCCCAATAATATTTGCTGGGGTCATTGCTTTTGTTTCTCTCTTTTTAGAATTAGAATATAAATGAGTTATTTTATGTTCCTTTTTTGTTGGCCACAATTAAAGAATGGATTATAGTTTCATGCTCTCAATTAAAAAAACTCAACATTTTCAGCACTGCCTCTGATGCAATTGGATACTTTCCTTATTAGTGGGGATATTGCTCTCCTTTGCTTGGACCAAACCCTACTTCCTCTCTCCCCACCAACCCCATTCTCTCGGTCATTGACAGAGTCATAATTTTATAAGGAAAATCAAGATATAAACTAAAGTAGTAAATATACGAAAAAGTTGAGGGAATTGATCAATATCTACGAATATAAGTATAATTTTTTGGTGTGGATGGTTCACGCCTAGCTGTGAGGCATGTGACCCGATGTGCACAAAGACGAATCTAAAATTTGAAGTTTATGAGTTTCCAATAATTACAAAATAAAACAAGAACTTTATTTTATGTGGCCAAAAGGAATTGAACCCTAATCAAGAGAGGTAACAAAACTTAAGCAAGTTTTATTCTATCGTTAGACCAGGAAACTACTTTCATGATTATTGTGTTCCCACACCTATTTCTTATATATTTTTATAGATTTCTCAATATAAATATATACATGGTCTGTGCAAAAGTTATTGGGTTCCTAGAAATCTGTTTCCACCACCCTAGCCTAGATCCCCCCCCCCCCCTTAGTATAATAATTAAACTTATCAGTGTATGATCAAAAAGTCACGAGTTCAAATTAAACACATCCATCAATATGCAAGATAATATCATCTAGTACACAATGTGGTTCAACCTTTCCCCAAATAAATCGAGCACAAAGCGAGAACGTAATGCAACAAACTATTTTTCTTCTTCTCTTAGCTATATTTTTGTATATAAAGAAGGGAAAAAAGCTAGTAATATTTTTCCAGTTATATATAGCAACTTCTTCAAGGAGTACTTTCTAGTACTATTCAGTTTTGTTTTCTACTTATTTTGCTTCTTATGGTAATTAAATTTATTGTTCCACCAGCCACTTATAAGCCCGTTATCATTATTATATACATAATATATATGAATTGATATTTTATAATAAGAACATCTTAAAACAACAAATTCCACTTGAAATGACTAATTAAAGCCTTGTTTTCAGTGGTCTAGACTCTAGACATTGTCATTTTTGTCATGTAGAATATATTATTTGATGGTGGTTGATTAATTATTTTCTGCATTAATAATCACATTTATTTTGTGATGCAAATTTCAAATTAATAACAAGTGGATCTTGACTAATTATGTATAATGTGGGACTAGGAGTTGATTAGATTAGAGATAACATTTGCATGGTTATAATTAAGGTTCAACATTATAATCATGTCGACTCCTTATTCAGACATGGGTGGGTTAAAGATTGACATGCTGCTTAATTCCTGCCCTACTTGTACTCTCCATTCTTAAAAGTTATACTTTCTTCGTTTTAATTTGTTTGTCTGATTTTGATTTGACACGAGTTTATGAAAATAAGTAGATTTTTTAATATTATGGTCTTTGGCTGAGCACCTCCACCATCAACTAGTTGGTTAAGGGTTCGAGTCACGTTGGAGGATAAGTGAGAATACTATTGATCCTCCTGATAGGGTGTGGGGAGAAACAATACATAAAATGTACAAAATGTTCTTTAATCTTATTGCCTTTTAAACATGTCACGTGGAAAGATAAAATTACAAAATTACAAAAAAAAAAGATTTTTTAAAAACTGACTAAAAAAAAAGCAACGAATTAAAACGAATAAAATAATAGAAGAATATCATTAACACTTTACAAATGTATACGTACTGACACTTCTGTATAGAGAAATTTTACATTATATGATCAATTTAGCTTGTTGAAGAGGCCACCTTTCTATTTTTCTACTAGTTATTTTGTCAGGAGCTTATTGTTTTAGTGAATTTAACTTAATGTGATTAAAATCCTAATACCCTGACAATGCGAATAACTTAAACTCATTTTGCGGACTGAATAACAACAAATTAAAGAATACTTTTAGGATGTCAATGTGCTTTTAACATGTAATAGCATGTTAGTTATCATTTATACGATACTTAACAATTAATTCATTTATAAAATGTACTTAAAAACTCCAAATAAATTATAAATTAAGAATAGAAATCATCCATATATGATATAAGTAAAGGTTTATATAAATAATTTCTTTAGCTTGTCACCTTTCCTATTAGGGAGTTCAAAAAGCTAGTGGGCTCATACAACCAATGGCCCATTTGGGCTAATAGGTTAGTGGGCTGATTTGTTATGGCCCATTTGGGCTAAAAGGCTAGTGGACTCATATTGTAGATGACCCATTAAATTTGGGCTGAAAAGCCACTAATCACACACCATAAAAAATGATCATTAGCGACAATTAATTAACAACAATAGCTTAATTACCGCTAAATATGTATTTTTAGTGGCACTTAGCACTCTTTGTATATGTCCCTAAAACTTTTAGCGACATTGGTTCTAATGACACTTAACTAATGCCGGTAAAGACTTTAACACTCTTTATTAATGTGTATATTTATTACCACTAAAAGTTGTTTTTTGTTGTAGTGACAGGTCATGACAAACCTAATCCACTGGCAAGTAATAACGAATGAATTGCCGAGTAAATAGATCAAATCTGACCATATCTATTACTCTATGGCGATATGATCTCGACACGCTCCTACCACTCCGGGGTATTGGCAAGCTACTTTTTAGTTTTATGATTAAAAAATAATTCTATCATGGTTTCAATTAGAGTTGTCAATATGAATCAGTCCAATCAATTATATCGTGGAGATGAATACAACTTTAGACATAAAATTCAAAAATTGTAGGCTATATTTCTCCTCAATTACTACTGGTTGTATAATGTATCTGATCTTCACGTGTTAAGTACGAAGTTGTAGGTGAGATTTAAAATTTTAAAAAATAAAAAATCAATCAAGATAAATCAAGGCACAAATAGAATCTCTCGAAAATGACTTTTTCCCTTGAAAAAAAACGAATGTTTGCACAAGTAATTAAACAAAAATAAGTATATCATAAAAAACAAGTTAGTTAAATCATATTTTTTATATTGTTATTAATTACGTTAAAAAATATATTATATCAAGAAAGACAAATATAATTAATTACAATAACGAAACTTGAGGTGAGGTTTAGGTATTATCATTTGTCACTTTAGTTTACGGCTATAATAACTTTATATAGATAAAATTAGATTAAACTGAGTGAGTTTGTAAATACAAAATAAATATAAGTGACTTCAGTGAGCTGATCAAATTTGCTAAAATTGAATGACCATTTAAGTTATTCACTCTTCATTCACAAATTCATAACATGAAAAGAATGTATTCGTTTTTACTTTATACCAACTCAATAAATAAATTTAATTCTTACTAGTCGATATTGGTCATATGGACATGCAACGTGTCATTCCATCAAATATCCATAACACATTAGATAATTAAACCTCAAAACGAAATTTCTTTGTTGCTACGTCTTTAACTAATTACGTAGAGCTTAATTAAGACATTGCTTATAAGAACGTGCAAAATTCCATACCTCAAAGTTTCCACTTACTTACGATATTAGGAAATTTCTCCATAATTTGAGAATTAAGTGTGATTCTGCAGAGTTGCTTTTAGTTCTCAATTTTTTTTAAAAAAAAATTAGACGCAAAAAAATAGGGCTTAAACATGATATTTAGTCATTTAATTTGGCCATGTAGTGCTCAATCACCCCACCACTAGTCACTAATCATGGTCACAAATCCACCATCCCAATAGAATCAAGAATTCAAAGCAATTTATTTGAAGTGAGTGCGGTGTATATAATAAATATAATTTATATACGCTGATAATGTATGAAATTTTTTGTAGGACCTAAGTAATTTATTTTTATTGTAACAAATAAATTGTCTTATTTCTTAGGTTATTAGTTCAAGTTATAAACAGTTATCTTTTAAATTATGTGATAGCATAAAACATGTATATTATATATTATTATTATTAACATAAAATAAATTGTAATATAATTATCGACTATTGTTTTAGTGAATGACTATATAATATAAAATTTCAAAAAAGAAAAAAAAGTACCGTGACCCGTGACTAGTCCCCTCCTAATGTGGTAGATCATCCCCACATAACCATAACCCGTGATTTTAATTAATTGAATGTGGAGAGTAGTGCACTATTATTGGTGGGCAAAAAGGAACAAATGTATATATATTGTTTTGGTTTTTCACCTGCTCTTTAGAATTCATATTGGAGCTTCGACTAAATTTGAATCGCGTATTGTAAGATTTATTTGATGATACCAACATGATTTTCTTTATATCCAAAGCTCGAACTCAAAATCCCTGATTAAGAATGAAGTAGTCACACTACTTCGTCTTTCGAAATAAATTATTTGATGACACCAAATTTTGTGGTGGTGAAAATGAGTCACGGGATGAAGAATGGGAAGCAAAATCCGACAAAAAGAATCCTCAACTCGTTCATGCATGTGTAGACCACAAAGACCACAAACCAATGGTCAACTAAACATTTTTTTTAATATAATATTTATAAGTAGTTCAACAATTTCTAATATAGATAATATAATTTAGTGGTATGGTACCAAAATCCCCAACCTAAAATCATGATGGACATAACTTAGTGGTATATATATGGTGCAAGAAAAGTGAATGAGAGGTGGAGTTCCATGGAGTTACTATACTTTTATCACTTTAAAAAGTGGCAATTCTTTCCATAACTTCCCTTGTACCCATTAGCTTTCTACTTTCAAGCAATGTGATGGTGGGGGTGGGGTGGATTAGGGGGAAGACGAAACAAAATAGATAGGTCTCTATCGATGTGTCTGCTTCAGCAAGGATATTTTTAAAATTTTCTTT